TTGGAACGACCGCACGGGTTCCTCAGGTTCTGTCTGGCGCAGGTGCTGACCGGGCATGGCTTCGCTTCGTACCTGCATAGAATCGGGCGAGAGGAATCCCCGTGTGCCACAAATGCGACGCGGCGGATGACACGGTGCAGCACACCCTCGCGGTCTGCACAGGCTGGGAGGAGCAGCGCCGTAACCTCACTGTGGTCGTGGGCCGGGATCTTTCGCTTCCGAGCCTGGTCATCGCCATGCTGGGAAGTGAAGGATGCTAGAAGGCGATCGCCTCCTTTTGCGAAGAGGTCATCCTTCAGAAGGAGGCAGTGGAGCGCGAGCGGGAGAACGATCCTCTCGTCTCATCGCTCCGCAGGCGGAGAAGGGGGCGGAGAAGGCGGTTGTACGAAGGCCTACTCTGCCCCCAGGTGGCGGCCAGCAGGCCGGGGGTGCGGGGGCACCCTTCTCACCTTCGTCTGACGGGAACGGCTTGGCGTTTCGGGCATTTCCGTCGGAGCCCCACAAGGGGGGCGTGTAGGGTCCGCCGTGTAGGCGAGCTGTCGCTGTAGAGTCGGAAGTCTAAGGCTACGGCCGGATACTCGCGACACCCCCACTCGGCCTACGACGGAACGCCGCGGAGGTTTTAGTGGGTGTACCCCGTCCTTTTCCCTTTTTAGGGCGCCGGGAGTCCCACATACCACCCTGTCCCCTGTCCGTATGCGGCACCCTTCTCCGGGGGCAGCGGCCTGCACTGGTGCTACTGACCAAAGCCTATCGGTCGGTCAGCACAGCCGCGCTCCCGGTGCTTGCTGGCGTACTACCCGCGGACCTCGAGGTGATCCGGGCTGGCAGCACAGAGGTGGCACGCCAGACCGCGGCCAAGGACGAGATGAGCAGGCGAAAACGCGAAATTTTGGAGTCGGTTGTGCGTACTTGGCAGACCAGGTGGGAGGGAGAGACGAAGGGTCGGGAGCTTAATCAGTTTTTCCCCGACGTGTCTGGGAGACTCAGCATGCGCTGGGTCGAACCAGATTATGTGACTTCCCAGGTTCTTACGGGGCACGGCTGCTTTAACAAGCGGCTGTGCAACATGGGGTTAAGGGACAGTGCGAGCTGCGATTGCGGTGAGCTCGAGGAGGACCGTCACCACATACTGTGGGATTGTCCCCTATATAGGGACATACGCGAGGAGCTGCTGCAGGGAGTCGTGCTGGAGACGCACGGCCCCGCTTGGTACCCCGATCTAGTTGCGTCAGAGGCGAACTTCAAACGGCTCAAGGCGTTCGCGTACAAGTGGCATACGAGGAGGACAGCACCGAACAGTTCGGCGCCATAGGGTGCCACCCGTTGTTGGTTGTGATAGTCGCAGCCCCAGAACGGGGAGAGTAGCGCATAGGGACAAGGAAATAGATCAAAGAATTTGTAGGGAGTCAAGCGTTGCGCGCGGCAGAGTGCAACCTGCTACGGCAGACGCAGTTCCGCGCGCATCTCCCGCGATTCGGCCAGTTATAACCGCAAGGTTGGCATGGCCATGGGTGGTGGTGGGTTGTCCCCCGGCAGTGGTGACGGTGCGCAAAGCATTTCCTTCGCGACAAAAAAAAGGGGGGCCCGAAACGAGCTGTGCCTAGGGGCCCCGAGATGGTTAATCCGGCCCTGATGGGATTACGGGCATTCAATGGGTTTAGCTAATTTTAAAGTCCACGTTTCCCACGATATTTGAGGAGATGAAAGATGCTAATCTCAAGTGTTGTCCTACTACCTACCTCCTCATAGGTAGACTTAACAATAAGGCTAATAAATTGTTTGTTGAATTTAATATGTAATTTGATACGTACTTAATTATAAATCTGTATTTTACAATTGCAAAACTGTTTTACAAAAATCTTAAGAATTAGGTACCTTAATAATCGTAATTCGTAATAATCTAACTGTAGTAAGTAGATTGTGTTATCTATCGTTAAATAACATCTAATGAGGAATTAAAGGTAACTTTAGTTTCAAAATAATGTATTTTACCATCAAATTAAACCTATGATTAGCCATCCATTACCTTTATCAATAATAATTGTATTTTGCTTCGATACTTTTAAAGTAGGTACCTAAGTATAGTTACACCGGAGTTGCATCGCATCGGATTAAAACCATAAAAAGTATAGGTAGTAACCGTTTAGCGACAAAAGAAAATAGAACAAGATTCCTTGTTCGTGTATTATGGTTGTTTGTATAAAACAGTATTTAAGAAAGGGTAAGGGCACGACAACGACACCCTTTTGCCCGAAGGCAATGGAGTATGTCCTGATGACTTGTAATTCCCTGATGTTTTGCTGTTAAAATCGCATTTCCTGAGGACGTTATTTACGAAACTCACCGATGCGAGTACGAGAGCATTCCTGATATTTGGGGACAAAGCCTGTCTCCCCAAACAAAGCCTTTAGAAGCTATTTAAAACGAATCCCTTAACAACACCTACGCTCGTAGGACTATTTGCGCTTGGTGCAAGATGCTAACTTTTGCTTTTGCTGTAGGATCATTGCGATATGTGACAAAATGTAATAAACGTACATACAAGGTAATCAACAAATCATAGCAATCAGTTTGTTTTTTTTTTTTTTCAGAAAAATGGGCTCCTAATCTCGTTGCAGTATAAGTAGTCGGTGCATGTAAGAGCAACTTTGCTCATAGCGGCAATTCAGCATGAGAATTGAATCTTTTACATATTTCAGTTTCTGTTTTAATGTTAATTACAATGTATCGATATTGAATACTACAATAAGTACTCTGCCGGCCTTAGCAAGGTAGAGAATGAAGTTTTAGTAAGGGAAGAATTAAAACTGAAATGATTTCCGTAACTAACTGCATATTTAAATGCGGTGAAAAGAGTAAAGAATCCTTTGCCGTTTAGTGAGAACTAGAAAATGTTATATTGCTGTAATACCTGTAAGCTGTAATGCAATGAGTGCGTCTTTTGAACTGTTTTCAATAACCTTCCGATTGTGCACCAATATTTTCAGTAAATATTGCTTGGTCCTTCAAAAAAGACATACAAATCGCCTGTCGCTTATCGCTCGAGCCCAGTGCGGAAGCGCGGCGGACGCCTGAGCGAGCGCGGACACTGCGGCACATTCAACCGAGGTACTATTGCCAGTAATCCTTTCTCGCAAGCCTTTCACGAGACGCGCCGACGCCGCAGATATTAATATTGTCAAATATTTTGGCGGGCGAGGCATTGTGCTATTGTGTACGCATCAAATGACGAGCTACGGATTTTACCACCACTTTTAGATCTTCGAAAGTATGATTTGAAACGAGGCTATTTGGCGTGTATTTGAATCATTTTTATCTCATGAGACGTTACGTGAAATTAGAATAAAAGTTGAGAGTAGAGCGGCAGTCCATGCCAGATTGGGACTGATGTGATGCGTGAACTTTAGCAAATAAGGATCGTTTTCAATAATAATTATACTAATGTCTACTAAAAACTTTTTGACTTTATCAAAATTGCTTTCAGAAACCTCCTATTTTAGGCAGACACTACTGAGTTGAGGAGCAGCATCGAATTAAGCCATGAAGAGTTCTAAACCCGACTATACATTAATATTTTTGGTACAAAAATGGTCGTGTGTTTTTGGCAAACATGGATTTAAAACAATTGAACAAATCCTTAATTTTGCATTATTTCTGAGATAGGAAAATTAGGTAAAGTACCTACTTAAATGGTAGAGACCCGTAATACTCAGTTCTACCCCTTACAAATCCTTAATGTAAAAATTACTTGAACATTAGCACGGACATAAGTAATGAACAATGTTCATGTGTGCGTGTAACACGTGTACCTACGTGCAAACTGTCCTACTGGGTTAAATGTTTGCTTATTCACGACATAAATAGATGAGCATACAAATGAATCTGGACACAAAATGTATGTAGTTTCATTAATAATTGTCAAGTAGAGACGAGCGAGACGTTTGAACTAAGATCACATCATTAATATTGAGTGGTACTTGTGGGCGGTGTCCACAGAAAAGATACATTTCATGGAGAAATGCTTTCACCCTTTTCGACTCCTATCTATATTTCAAAGGAAGGTCTACTGAGTACTTAAGTCTAGAAAAAATGCTCTTTAGTGTGTGATGGCGCATTTTAGCGTAATGGTTATCGCACGGGAGACGTAATGAATGTTGATTTTCCGCCTGTCTTTTGTATTGAGATAGTTCTAGTTACGTGATTATTACTTTCCCTATTTTTTACAATACATACATATTTTAACGTTAATGTTTATTATAGCTGGATAGGTAACTAAAGATGTAAGTAAGTAAATAGTCATTGTGATCGTCGTTTTCCGTAGAGTCTGAAGATTTATTGCAAGCAATTAGAATTCCTCGCTCCGCCACAAATAACATTGACATCTACAATAATACGTTACAGCTATACCTACCTACATAATAGGTTAGCGTATACTCTTTTCCTCACCAACAAATGGAAAAATACCTTATATTTAACTACTTACTGAATTAATGCAATAATAAGCAATGGATATGTAAGTATAAACTATGTTTTTTTTGCTCTTGCAGAAGCATGTGGATTTGAACCGTTCAAAAAATAAATAATAACCATCAGTTAGGGCCGGTCAACCCATTAGTGCGGGCGCAGCGGGAGCTCATGATCACTTTGCTGTTGTTAATTTATGTGCTTTGTCGCATTGTCCAGCGCACAATAGCCGCATTTTTATAGCCGGGCTGCTGGACACCCAGATTAACATCTATGGTTGGCTTCGGCTTTCTCTCGTTTTGTGCAAGCACAATGCTCTAACCGGGCACCTGGCATTAATGGCCAAACGTAATGGATATCGCCGAAAAAATTACTGCTACCTATTGCTTTTGTGCAAAAGGGTTCGGCTAACACAATTGATGTCCAAGAAATAAATAAACATTTGATGTGTCTCCCTTCTTATAGGTACGTAAACGCAAACAATAACTCTTTGACCCGTTTTATTAAAATAAGTTATGACTTACCTATAAATATTACTCGTTTTCGATTCTAAGATCTGCATCATCGCTGGCCGTCGTTGCTCGAGGAGCCTGCCCAGTGACCAAGTCTCCGTGAACCCTGACTCTGTACACGCAGGTGTAAACGGGATGCCCCCAGTTGGTCAGCACTCGCACTCGCACTATATTGTAGCCCTTGGTCGAAGGGTGTTGCACTTCGAAATACTGAATAGGTTTGCCTTCTTTGTCGTATTCAAAACTGCCGAAGTCGTGTGGGTAAGGATCACTGCGAAATTCTAAGCCTTCTATTTGTATCAGGCGAGGAGCCGATGATATTTCTCTGTGTAAGAAACAAAGTTCGCTGTATGTTTATTATTCTACCGGTCAGCTAAAAAGCCCTAAAGTTCTGGACGGTACCTATTAAAGCCCTTGCCACATTACACCGGGCACCCTGATGCTAAATATGCGAATTACTGTACCAATGTGTGAACTCTTCCTAAATGCGTTGTGAGAGCTCTTTAACAAGTAAAGGGGTAAATGCTAATGCCAGATATTTTTTTATGAATAAAGCATCGTTACGACCGATTGTCTTCCTCATCTTAAAACATTACCTATCAATAGAACTGTGTACATACCTTGTAGGCGAAATATGCGCCGGTATGTGTTCCACGCTAAAGCCGGTGATTTGGACGGTGCCCAGCAGTCTTATTGTCGCCTCTCCGTGCGAGCCCTTGAAGGCCCAGCACTCGCCGGGCAGCGTTCCCGGGCGGATCATGGCGCGCGCGCCCAGGCACTCGCGGCACACCAGCGCCGTGAACACGTGCAGCGCCCAGCCCACCGGCGACTCGTAGATCACGTGCTCGGCGGTGTCGCCGGTACTCAGCACGCGACCACCGGCCGACTCCAGCGCGTAGTCGGCCACCTATATGGTAGGTAGGTAAGTGAAACGCCTTCTTATTAGGGTTGTGGACACCCTAATCAACATGGAATATATGGGGAGCCTATTTCGCCCATCACTTCGCCGGGCAGCGTGCCGGGCAGATCATGGCGCGCGCGCCCAGGCACTCGCGGCACCTACAGGTTGGTAATTGGGTGAAACGCCATCATATTTGGATACTGAACTCACTGTCAATCGACAAAGTTTTTAAGAGCAGTAAAGACGTAGACGACGTAGAGTATGACGACATTAGATCGCGAACTCAATTGACTAACAATGTACCTATTGATTTTAAAGCTACGGAAAATCTAATTTTACAGCCAATTGGAAAGTCACTCTGTTTTCAGGGCTAGAGTTAAGTTTTTTTACCCGACTACTTCTGAAGGAGGATTATTTATAGAAGAAATCGAACAAACTAGCCACATGAAAAAATATGTTACGGTCGTCTAATAATGAAATTGGAAATTAAAAAAATGGAAGGGTCACATCACATCGCGGTGTCGCGTTAAGTAAATATGTACCTATATTTGTTTTGTGCCGGTCGTAGTCGTGCACATCGAGCGCCTGCTGGCTATCGCGGCGCGCGGAGGGTTGCAGCGCGTCGAAGACAGTCGCTCCATTTAACCGTAGTGCCACTCCATCTCGCCTTTGAACCGCTCATACTTGTGGTATGCGACCTGCATACTACCTGTCGGTCGTAGTCGTGCACGTCGAACGCCTGCTGGATCGTGCGGCGCGCGGAGGGATGCAGCAAGTCTTTGCCGCGCTAAGCCAGCGGTTGCGGACTCGGCGAGCAGCGCTAAAGATAGCCGCTCCAACTCGCCATAGTGCCACTCCATCTCGCCTTTGAGTCACTCATGCTTGTGGTAAGTGACCCGTATTACCTGTCGGTCGTAATCGTGCACGTCGAGCGCCTGCTGGCCGGTACGGCGCGCGGAGGCATGCAGCGAGTTATTGCCGCGCTTAGCCAGCGGTTGCGGCCTCGGCGAGCAGCGCTGAAGACAGCCGCTCCATCTCGCCTTTGAGTCGTTCGTGCTTGTGGTATGAGACCTGCATATTACCTGTCGGTCGTAGTCATGCACGTCGAGCGCTTGCTGGCCGGTGCGGCGCGCGGAGGGCTGCAGCGCGTCCTTGGCGCGCTCGGCAGCGGCGGCCACGGCGGGCAGCGCCGAAGACAGCCGCTCCATCTCGCCTTTGAGTCGTTCGTGCTTGTGGTTCACCTTTTGTATTATATTTAATCGTTTAAGTATAAATAAACAAAGGGATTTATGTCGTTCTTATGTTCATCACTGGTCGCTCAACAGAAAATATTTATGTATAACTCATTGTACCTATAGACCAGGTACTAATCTAGGCATCCACCTATTCAAACCAAATGAATTTACTATTATTTTTTAGTAGCAATAGCAATGTTATATTATAAACATATATCGCTTGTAATATTATAAACCAGGTCATCTTTCCTTTAGCAGCTTGCTTCTTTTATATTTTGTACCTATGCTCAGTCATAATACATACCCCCGGGAGTTGGTTTAGGAAGAGGGGAGAAATAGGCACAAGTTTTTGCGTGAAAGACTGAAGAGCAACAAATCCATCCATTCTCTCATTGAACGAAACCGCAATCAACTTATAAAACATATCAAACCTCAGTCAGTCCCCTGGTGAGCTGCGTGACCACGTATCGTATATCGGAGAAGTCTCCGTCCAGCGGCTCGCGCGCCGGCCCCCAGAAGTACGCGTACACGTGCAACGCCAGCAGAAGTGATAGCGTCACGCACACGAATGAGCGGAATACGCTGCGGAGGCACCCGCCATTCTCGTACTCATACTCCATGATGAATTTATTAAAATTAAAGGGTTTGAAAAGACAACTCCAGAAAAGTAAACAAAGCGAAATGATCGACTGTGTCTTCTATCATTAATGTCAACCGTCATCAAAACCATAAACCAAGAATTTTTATAGGCTATAGAATCGAAAATAGTAACCCCGTATTGATATAGTTCCAAAATACTGAACTGTCCTATCCATGACATTGACAGCGGGGCGCCACCGTCAATACCGGATCGCTGGTTACGATTTCTGCCATGTTGGAAGCCATATAGTTGAACGAAGGTAGCGCCCCCCTGTCATTGAGTTTGGTGGGACAGTTCAGCGTGGGTCATCTATAGCAGTGCCTTCCTGTGTCATTTTTCCGTAGACAGAAAAAACTATTCTCTGTCTACGCATTTTTCCATACATTTTTCAGTGTTCCTGTTCCAACGAGGCAAAAATCCATACAAAAATCGGAACCAACAATCCAGTATTTGACAGTAGCGCCCCCCTGATGTCACAGATGGGACGGTTCAGCGGACATCATGAAAACCCTTGAAAACTTCAAAAAGAGAAGTGAGAAAATGCGAGGGTGGAAAATTCTTTAAAAAAAATCATAATACTTAGTTCTTTAAAGTTACGCGTAAATAAAAAGTAAGTCATAATAAAGTATACAATATTTATTAATTAAATACTATAAAAAGAATACAATCAACATCTACGAAAATGTATTTTTTAAGTTGTGACTTTAATTTGTATTGATGTAGGTACCGGCCCAGAAGTATATTAACTTATACAATGAGTTCCATCATATTGTATTTGTGTGCTGATTGCGAGTTTCAACCGATTGTTTTCGATGCGCGCTTCGAGAATTCGAATGACAACGCCATCTAGCGGTACGTTAACGAATTTCATGCGCGGCCGCAGTCACTCATCGAAGCCATCATGTGGAACTTGCATTATGCACTCTGTAGCTGTAGTCCGTAGATGCGAATGTTGCTTGGCAGCACGGTGGAGCCTCGTTACGCCTTCTGCGCCGAGGAAGCGTACTCGATCTGCGCGGCCGCTACAGACTTCATCGACTCGTGCGCCTGGTGGACATTGGCTCGCCACGCCTACCAAACAAAATAAACGATTGAATTATTTCATTCTGACTGAATACATACTTTTAAATTATGTCATATCTAAGTATGTTCGTACGAACGAACGAACGAACATACTTTTAAATTATAGCTGGGCGTGGTGATCATATAAACTGATATCAAAAGAATCCCAACATGCAAATAAAATAATATGTCATTCGAGGAACAACTTCGTGTGTGACTATAACTGAAGTGAGCAGTATTCGATCAGTAGCGAAATATGGACCCATGAATATGGAACATTACAGTAAAGCTCTTCAGTGATGTCACTCAGTGAGCTATGAGAAGGTCGACCGAAAGGTGACGTAAACAGGATTCTGAACGGAGATTACGTCTCGGTAAAGTGGAACACCCTACTGCTCGAGGGACCGACGATCTCAAGTAAATAACCGGCAGTGGCTAGATGAAAAAAGCGGGAGCAGTTTTAAGGCTTCCACAGACCAAACGCGGGGCAGTAGCAGCGCAGTTTGAATGCGGGCCCGCGCAAGTTGTAATACAAGAAACTCTTTGAAGTGTGTCACACCTAATTTGAACGCGGGCCCGCGCTCCAACCGCGCCGCACTGCAACTGCCGAACGACAAACGATGCGGCGCGGGTGCGGGACAGAAGCGCGCTGTTGTATTACTATGGCGGCCATATTAGCATGACACACCGGACGCAGGGCGGTAGCAGCGAGCGGTTTTCGAATATTTAAATTTTTGACAGCCGCCCGCGTTGCAACTGCTTCAGTGTGCCTCAGCCGCGCTGCAACTGACCCGCACTGCTTCTGACCTGCGTTTGGTCTGTGGAAGCCTTTGTGGCTAATGTAGCCGTCCAGCAATGAACTGGCTTTGGCTGAACCGATAATAGGAATGTTTCCTGGGTAAAAAGCAAGACTTTTAATTAGTCCGTCAGTTAGCTTGTATAAATAAATAAATATCCTTGGACATTTTACACTGCGCTTCTAGTCCCAAACTAAGCAAAGCTTGTACTATGGGTGCTAGACAACGGATATAAACATACTTAAGGGTCATTCCATAAAAATCTGTATATTTTCGACGTCATTTTGTCCGTAACTTTTTTAAGATGCTTTTGAATACTTTATTAGTGTAAATTATAGTTTATTAATTAATTATGTTATGTCTAGAAGGGCCAGTCACTTTATGCTTTATTTTAGGAGAAATTATAATTTTAAATTTTTTCATACTACATTACTCCTATATGACTGCTAATAAAGTATAAAACATATAACCTTAACATTTATAGATAAGTTAATATACATAAGGGGCCATCCATAAAGTACGTCACACAAATTTCATGATTTTTTGACCCCCCCTCCGTCCTTGTCACATGTGGTCACATTTCTGAGAACACATGTTTCCGCAACAACTGGCATGTTTGCACTAATTCAAAAAACGGCTGCCGCAAAGCCAGTATGGTCTGAGGATAACTTCGTATCGTCAGGCCTGGCTCACTCCGCGCGGTACATCCAATAATTACCTACAGCGAAGCGCCCCGCCGGCGGGTATTATATCAGTCGAGTGTCACGCGCGCGCCCGTCAGGACGCTGGCGTGCGTTGTAGTACCTAATTCTATGATCGAAGTATTATTTAAAAATGGACATAAACAGAAAGAAATATTGTGCGGCGTTCGGGTGTTTAAATTCGAAAAGAAATCTACCGGATTTATCTTTTTTTTTCGCTTCCCAAATATGCTGAAAGGTATGTTGGCCATGTAGGTGATCAATAATACTTAGGGTAGTATAGGAACCTAACCTACCATGACTACTGCTCAGAATGCGTTCGTTCGTTTCATCCAAATGACGTCCACTGCTGGACAAAGGCCTCTCCCAAGGTTTTCCATAATGAATGCGTACTTACTCGCACCGGCTTATTGCGTGTACATTGACGACTTCAAACGGATCGTAATTTAATTCATAATTCGAGAAATATTTTTCGACAGCCTCCGGACTTATAAACGACTGATTAGCTCCGGTGTCTATAAGTAATTTTAAAGGTGGGTTCAATATCTGAACATACGGGAGTTGTCTCTGGGTTTGCAAGTTTAATTCTATTTTGGTTTGTCTGAGCGGGCTGGCTCCTGAAAATCCTCGGCCTTGCTAGGTGAAGGACTTTCTTCCGTAATTTCACAAACGGGTTCGGTATTAAATAGTTCTGGATAATTATAATTGGGTGCATAAAAAATATCATTAGAATAGTCAATGTATTCGCAATAGGGCATGCTGTTATCGCCGTGATAGTAATCTGAGTAGCCATCGAAATAAGGTCCGTATTCATAATCCAAGCAATCATTAAAATTCATTTCTCGCGTTTTAAAGTAATTACTTGGTGGTGGATTACCAAACCTACGCCAATCATGACCACTAGGTGGTAAAGGTTTGCTAACAAAGTGGCTTACGCCGCTCATGGGTTTGGGTGCCTGATAATTAGCAACGGGTGGATTCCTATTGGGCATTCTGAACACATGACTTTGTGGATTATAATTTGGAGGTGGAGCACTGAACATCTGCTGGGTACGTGTCGGTCCACGGTTCAGTTGTGGTTGAACTGGGTTTGGTCGCCATTGCTGGGACGGCTGGGGTATACGGAATGGTTGAGGTTGAGGACGAGATGGCCCTGGCATGCTAAAACCTAGAGGCTTTGAAGATGGCATTGGTGGCATGGGAAAATAATTAGGAACTAATCTGGCTCCTAACCTCTTCCCTATGGATGTACGGGTAACGGTAACTCTTGGTATAAACTGGTAGCTCGTCAGTAGTCTTGATCGAGTGTTTGATCTGATTTGTAAAAGTTAAAGCCTCGCCTTCGATATAAAATACGTCTGCATATTGAGCGCATAAATTTTGTAAGTTCGCGCGCTCTTCAGCGTTCAAATGGCTAGTCCGTAGACGCGAGAGAACGTCCGTAGCACGTTTAGATAGCTTCGTAACGCTTTGATGACGCGGGTCACGCGGTTCACTACTCGTAGTATGAGGGTGACGTAATTCGCTCGTAGCATAGGTAAGTTCCGTAGCATTTAGTTCGCGCTCGGTACGCGTGGACTCTACATTATAGATCTCTGCGCTAACCTGGCGGTCGACGGAAAAAATGACGTCATTATGACTTGGGTTTGATATCTCTAAATATCCGCGATTATTTTTAACGCTGGTTAAACATTCTCCTACAATGCAATTAGATATTACCTGTTCTGGGATAAACGCATCTCCGTCTCTGACATTGATAGGTAATTTAATTAATTTAGAGGAACGCCCTGGAATGATGTCTTCATACAGGTTAACGTTCCGGGAATCATAGACATGAATCGGGTTAGAAGCGTGCCGTGTAATAAGTAACTTATTTTTAAAATCAATTGACGATTCCCATTTGTTCAATAAATCTGACCCAATTAAACCGTCGAAATAATTATGGAATTTATAGACAAAAAGTGTAACATCGGTCGTGTCATTGAATTCCGAGAAACACGGTAGCGTAATAGAATAATCGCACCGGCTTATTGCGTGTACATTGACGACTTCAAACGGATCGTAATTTAATTCATAATTCGAGAAATATTTTTCGACAGCCTCCGGACTTATAAACGACTGATTAGCTCCGGTGTCTATAAGTAATTTTAAAGGTGGGTTCAATATCTGAACATACGGGAGTTGTCTCTGGGTTTGCAAGTTTAATTCTATTTTGGTTTGTCTGAGCGGGCTGGCTCCTGAAAATCCTCGGCCTTGCTAGGTGAAGGACTTTCTTCCGTAATTTCACAAACGGGTTCGGTATTAAATAGTTCTGGATAATTATAATTGGGTGCATAAAAAATATCATTAGAATAGTCAATGTATTCGCAATAGGGCATGCTGTTATCGCCGTGATAGTAATCTGAGTAGCCATCGAAATA